TTGTCTCTTGGAATTTGCATTTTATCGTATTTTCACCATATTCAGCCAGCCATTCTGTCGATTCCCTGTCGAATTCGTGTCCCGTTCGTGCAATGTCTTCCGCTATTTCGGATCTTTCGGCATCCATTTTCCTGCAGAGTCTTTGATGTTCCTTGGTTCGCAGGCCGATTTTTATTCCTGTTTCATCGATATACTTATGCTCACAGTTGCCGCATTTGACGCGATGAACTCCCGAGTAATCAAGTTAGTCAGTCTTCTCGTGTTGAGTTGCTATACTGGTGAAAAGTGTTTTATTCTCCTTTGTTATCACCTTGATCTTCCATTTCCATAGTAACGGTCGCAATTCTTGGCTCAGTTTTGATGAAGGCAGGCAAATTCACTATTAGTCGTCCTCCTGATTCCTGATTTGATTTTCATAAAATCCGAGTTGAAATCTGCTCTTTATTACGTCTACATTTTTTTCTATAAATTTCCTGGGGTACTCGTTACTAAGGCAAATCTGTTTCAGTTTGTCCAAATTCTCTTCTCAGAACTCAGTGTTCGTTAGTTGTAAGCTTCTGAAAATCAAACTCCCCAGTATTTCTATATTTAGTCTGTAGTTATGGTGAAACTGAAAATTAAGGATTATTCCCGCATATGAATTCTTTCTGTATAGTCTTGTCATGAGTGTCCCGTTGGAGCGCATTATTTCGATATCCAGAAAGGGTAGTCGCTCATCCTCCTCCACCTCTATTGTGAATTTAATTCTTTCAGCAAGTTGGTTAATGAAATTGAGGAATTCATTTAGATTTTGTTTATCATATTACCAAAGTGCAAAGTAGTCATGCAAGTATCGCATAAGCACTCTTGGCTGCAATGGCGACTTCTCGAATTTTCTTTCCAACTTGTCGCATGTACACATTTGCCAGAAGAGATGAGAGTGGATATCCTATCGGTAGTCCAAATATTTGCTTGTAGATACAGCCGTTAAATCTAAATATGTGGTCCTTACTGTCAGTTTGATCAGACGTGTTAAGGATTCCTTCCGTATCCGTTCTGCCTCCAGGATGTCCTCTTCTCGCTCCAATATCTCCAGCAAGGCGCTTACCGCCTTCTCACCTGAGATGTTTGTATACATGGATTGTACATTGAAACTCACCAACAGTTCCGTCCCGACCGGCCTAATGTTCTGGATCCTTTTAGAAAATCATATGAATTCTTAACAGTATTCGAGGGTCTGTCATTTACTTTCTTGAGCTTCAAGCAAATGAATTTCGCTAGTTTGTGTGTTGTTCCTTGCTTGTTGTTGACCCACAAATGTTGTCGTACTGCATGCTTTAATTAGGTTTAAGGTTGAACCACAACAATAGTGGGTTGGCACACGAGAAACTAAAGCATAGGATGTTATAGACTTGGTATTGCGGATAGAAACATGATACGCACGGCGGAGACTAGAGCTAGTTGGCTGACAGTAGGCCTGTTTTACCGTAGACGTGGCCATGACGCAAAGGCTTGATCATGACAATTACCCGTGATCCTTAGCCTCAACTTAGTCTAGCAGACGCAGAGTGTGGGAAATAACGCCTAGTGGAGCAGAAATGGGTTGGCAGGGGTCCCGTGACATACTTGGACCAGGTAGATGGCAGATGGATCCTACGGGGCAAGAGGGAGACTTTGATAAGGCTTAGGGAAGGAGGACTGCGCAACCATATGGCAGACTCTGATTAACATTCCCAACACAGGAGTGAAGTGGGGTCAGGGAGGGGTGAGGAAGCCAACTTGGAGTGTTGAGAGTTCTCATGTAAGCAGCTCAAAAGGGCGCACAATACAACATTTAAATAAGCAAGTACAAATAGTAATTATGAGGTCGTGACATAAGGACATAGGATTTGTGATTAGCCCATGGCGGAAGGATAGATACCACGATTGTTTAGCAGACAATTGGTCAAAGGATCGGCTTCACTTGTCTCTTTGACGAATTCTAGTTTGGTGCTAAGCCTGGCGAGACTCACTGACGATGCCGGCGAAACGTCTGGGAATGTACCACGTCCACGGTACTACTCTGGAAAGGATGATGCATACAATGGACTCCGGACTAGGTGCGTTACTCTAAGTCATACTACCAATATGACCAAGTTGTGAAAAATGGTCAAACAACTTCTAAAAAACGAAAGGGGACTGCGAACACACAAAAAGCCACACCATCTTGGTCTTCATACCTTCGATTAAAATTTTAGTATTTAATTGTTGAGCTTATTTT